AAAAAAAAAAAAAAAAGAAAAAAGCAAGCAGAAGCGTTTGAAATTTGAGGGAAATTTCACTGCCGCCGGATCCGTTGGGGATGCAGCAGGTGGCATTCGGAGCATCATTGCAGCTGTGTTTTTCACTCGTTCTTCACTTTAGCTCGCAGACTTCACCAAACCTCACAGTGCTCCTTGATGAGGGCAGGAAGCACTCATTAAGTCACCAAAGTGCGCTGGGAATACTCTCAAGAATTTCCGGGAGATTTCAAACAGCAGTAGCCTAGGTGTCGGCAGCATAGCTCCAGAAGCAACTACATCGCAGGTCGCTGGATCACTTCGTGTTGAGAATACTGCCTCTGGGGTTGCGGCTGCGTCGATTTGCAGGATGTCGGATGTGCAGGAGAAGCCCCAAGTAATCCCGCCCCGCGCTTTCCGTTCGGACAGGCTGGTTTGCAGGTTTCGTGCTCTCTTCGAAGCTCCAATGCTGTTGACCCTGATTGACGCTGCGATTGTGAGGCGCAACAAGCAACGCAAGCGGCAAACGAAGAATATTCACATAGGCCTGGCAGTAAGGTTGTGCCTCTCAAGGCAAGTAAGCAGAAGAGCACACACACACACACACACACTTCGGACACAACAATGCGAGGCACGAACACCCCGTCCGCAACACGTCCTACTGCCGTCTTGCTGCGATCCTCCGCTTGGAATCATGTGGAAAAGCTATCGCAACCCCGTAACATGCGCAAATCTGTGTGGATTGATGCATCTCGATGGTGGAAATATTACAAAGCATCGGCGGCAACATGTTCACGACACAAACACCGTGGTCACTTCTTGGAAAATGCAACTCTTCCTCAGGTACGACTGCTTTACACCACTTGCCATCGCACAGGAGCCATCGTCAACTCTGTTGGAAGTGCTTGCGGACTGAATAACATTTCCCTTCGCATGAGTAACTGGCAAAAGGAGGCCCCAACCCATGCTTGGGATAAACACGCCTTGATCAGTAAACCGGGAGCGGGACATTGCTGCCGAGGTGGAAGGTCCAAAAGGCTCCAACCCATGGCAACGCCATCAAGACCTGATGCGTGAATTCTTCACTCACAAGCATTTTCTAGAAGTAAGCTTGCTAAGATTGCTGCCAGCGTCAGCCCCAATCCAATGTGAGAGGTCTGAGGCGCAAGTTTGCATTCATGCTTCGACAGGCTATTACCAAGCAACACTTCTCACTCAGCAACTTGACTGCAGCTCCTAACTTCATGGTGATCATCCTCTGAGTGCTGTTCTTTGACGACATCATCATATGCTAACCGACCGTCAACAAAGCCAACCACAATCAGCGCTAAACCTCAGATCCATGGATCTGCCAGACTGTCGAAGAGCATCAACTTCTGTCGATCATGATAGTTTCAACAGCACTCTAAGGCTTTACCAAGGTGAATGCCAAGCATTCCGAACCAAGTAATCAGCCCGTCAAGGTCCTGACAGGAAGGAACCGAGATGCATGCTTTCACGGCAGAGACACGCATGCAGAGCCTTTGGGCACCGGTCATCTCCATGCTCCGCTCCTGGGCGCGTCTCCGCAAGAACTGGAAACCACGATCCTTGCTGCTAAGCTTCAGGCCGAGCACCACCAACCAAGCAAAGAACATGGTTGGGAAAATGAGCCTTAGACACTGGGGGAAAGAAGATCCACAATATGGCTATGTGCATCGAGCTGGGCGCATTGCGCAAGCAAAAGAATGGCAGACTGCAGCAGCCCCCAAACAGCCTTTCAATATGGAGCGCATGCTGCACATAAAGATGCACCCTGCAAATGCCTGCATAGGATCAACATCATGCATGTCCAGCCTGCCATACGTCTTCGTGAAAAGCCTGGTAGGCGGTTCCGCAACTAAATGTGAATTCGTGGATCAGGTGTAGGATACGTTCGCGGTTCCCCTTATCTCAACTGCATGACCTGAACGGCTCCCGTGCGGGAACACAAGTCAGAGGTAAGTCTCAAGTCAAAGTCGGCATCTTGCAAGAGCAACGCAGAGTGACATCATTCAACGAGCTGAACATGCTTCACTCAAGTTCCTTCAATGCAGCGAAACGGACGAGCGTCAAGTTCAGCCGCCCTCAATAGACATGCCGCGTGCAAACTGATTGTACTAATTACTAAGCCTACCCAACCAGAGGCTCTGCTCTGATCAAGTAGCATAGGCTGTGCCTCCTCCGCTTCCTTCATGGAGGTTCGAAAACGTACGAAGACCTCAGCATTTCGAGCATCATCCCCTGCGCTTGAATAGGACACGGGCCACCACACGGTGGATGAACGTCCAATGAGGAGAGTTGTTGAGAAGACGTCATTGCGCAATGTTCGCATGCAAAGCTTCATTACATACTTCCCAACAACGAACACAACAGCGGGATCCTACAATCCATGGTGGACAACGGTGACCCCAAACAAACTCAGCCAGGTTTTAGCATGTTTGTTGAAATCAAATTTGTCCAGGTCAGTCAGACGTGCATTTTACCCTTCCAAGCAGAGTCCTGCAACTGTGCGGCCGGGTTTGGTGCTCTCGTGGCCCGCGCACGGGCGGCTTAATTCGGGAATGATCAAGACTCGCAATTTGATTGAGCGGTAATGCTTTGTTTCTGGAGGCTGGGAGAAGTCAGTGGCTGCAGATTAATGAGAGATGTTAGAATGCGGAAGCTTGATGGCTTCAGTGCTGCCGTCCACCCATTTTATCCCGCTGTGTGCCTGCAGACCTGCGTGTGGCCTCGCATGGCACAATGCGTTCAATGTGGCATAACAGCTACCAGTAGAGATAACCATCAGACTGGGTGTGCCAACATCGACACTCATGTTGTCATGCATACACCGGCACGTTCCTTCACAACAAAGGGTCCAAGCTTATGCCACAGCTGGCCAATTTACTTGCACACCGTTTTTGCCATCGCGCAATTCCCAAACACGGCCCCAATTTTTTGATTGCACAAGTTCCATTGAGCGACGCCTTTTGCTGAATCAACACCCCCTGGGTCCTTGAACGGTCCTTTCCCGTGGAAATTAAAAACAGTCTGTCTGCAAGCTACCTACCCGTGCATTATGGTTCCTTTGCTCACTCCCAGGACGAGCTCAAAGCTTTAGCAACTCAACAGGCAGTAAGTTCCGGGCCTCCCAATGATATCCATTCTCAGGGACCCAGCGGCCTGACAAGAACAGGGTTAGCGAAGTAGAACGCACATCTCCTAAGCTACACGATGGCATCAGGACAGGTAAGGTTTCGACCGTAGCAGGCTCTGAAGGTGGCTGCCCAGTTCCTGGCTATCAGATTGCACGAGCCACGCCATCAATTTCAGTGTTTGCATGAGGGGTTCACAGGTGATGTGAGGGCGCCACGATTCGGTTCGCATGACATTCAAGTACCTGCACCGGCGTTTACCAACACAGATGTGTCTTAAAATCTAAAACAAATGCATTTCAATGTTCGATGTATTCTGAAAATACGGTCAAGGCGCACCACCCTGAGATCGCGCGTACCAACGATGCCCGGCCACTTCCGGACCCGCTGCTTGTTAACGCTTCTGACTCATCCAAAACGGTATTCACCTGCCAAGGCTGGTCAGCAGCTTTGCAACAGCGCTCACCTCTACTACATCATCTGGATGCCTGTGAGGCATAGACAGCATAACCTGAACGTGGACGGATTCTTCCCTTGCATCGCGACATAAAAACATCTGTGGCAGTAGCCATCATTGAGCTCCTCCATCAGGTCCCGCAAGAGATTGCAATCAACACAGCCTCTCGAGCTGACCTAGTCAAGGGACCGCCTCCTGCTGGTGGCTGACAACTTCCCGCGCAACACACCATGCAAGAGTTCCCAGCGTTTGTTGTAGCCAAGGTTCGCATTGTTGCCTCAAGCTCTACTCACCATGTCTACAACATTAAATCTGGCATGGCGCCTGTGGCAAGAAGCGGCAAATGTGATGGGCGCGCAGGGCGTAATGCAAATCACCTCAAATGAACATGGGCTGATGAATGTAGCTGTGGATGCAGCACATGGTTTCATAATGTGCTAAATAACATCCCTCAACCTGAGGTCTGGTCTTGCATTGGTGCACCTATCAAAACCGCAACAAACTTCAAATGAAAACTGTTGGTCCGGCCAACTGCCACGTGCTCTAGTACGTTCTCATTCATCGCGCCTTGTCTCTCCGCGGCTTGCTAATTGAAAAGTCCAAGGAAGGGCATCGAGTTCTAGCTCCTCCAAACACAAACAACAGCAGGAAGTAAAGATTGCGCACATTGCACCGTTTTCCCAAAAGCCAAACTCCACCAAGACTGACGTCGGAACAAACTTGTGACATGAAAGCACAATCCTCCCCATACAGTTCGGCCAGGATCTCTGCAACATCGTTCTCTTCCAAGTCAATCTGCGACCCTCGACGCACGAAGCTTGGGTCCCGAATTTCACATACATAAGCATCACCTGTTCCTGCCTGTCCATCCCAATGACCGAGACATGATGTCGCATATACGCAGTTCCTTCGCAACTCGCATTCTGCGACTTGGCAGTCGAGCTAAGAGGGTCCTCCACATTCCATCGGTCTCTTGCTCGCAAGCGTTGTGGCCCTGCCTGTTTTTTTGACCGTNNCCCCCCCCCCCCCCCCATTCACCAAGTCTCCTTGCTCAAAACACTCACACGTAGTTTGCCCAATGCGCGCGCGTGTTGCACAAAGCTGCAAATAGCAGAAGTTGCCTTTGGCAACATTGCCAGTAAGTTCGTTGCGCTTCGGAATGGCGCAAGTCTAATGCTTGCCTCCCAGCCTGCCGCAGCCTCTAGATGTGGGTTGCCGAATCTTGCTAGTTGTAAATTCCACTGGTGTTCTGTAAGACAACGCGCCCATGCCCAACCAGCCGTAGCTCACATCAGAAGGCCACTGCAGGCCCTATGGCGGCAGACATCGCGACAGTGACATTGCAGAACAGCTATTCAACGCCACCGTGGTTTTGGATCACTGTTGGAAGAGCAAACCTAGGTAACAAGTGAAGGGTTCATAATTGACTCTTGGCAGTGCACGCAGAAATCTGGACGCTTGACACTTTGCCACGTCACTGATGGGGTTCTTGACGCCGGGCCACGGCTGGCCGCCGGAGAACCCTTCCTCAGCAGCAACCGACGTCCTGTCAACTGCCTCGAACGCTAGCCCGTCATGAGTGTCAGAAAGATCTGGATCCAGCACGCTAGGCCAAGGGCTGTCCCCCTCCGAAAGGGTTGACGCGCCTCTTGGCACTGGGTGATGTTGAAATGCCGTCCTGCAGCACAAACACGCGTCGTCTGTAGTCTTTTTTTTGAACAGGGCCGGTTGCTAAGGCAATCGCTTCAAGCGGAGATTGCAAATCTTCAGGTCGGAGCGTCTGGCCGGCCTGCTGCTGCCTTTCCATCAGTTCCATCATTTACATTTCATGCATACAGAAGCACAGCAGGCAATATCTGTAAGGTTTCAGCGGTGAGTCCCCGGTTGAATCTCTTGGAGTGGGCTCGAACTTGGCAGCTGCTGAGTCTAGGCTCAAACATTGCCCACACAGCGTCTAGATTCTAGATTTCACCTTGAACGAGGTCTCAATCTCCTGTTCGACTTCTGATTGCTCCTTTCGCTTTGCGGTGACTGTATGCATACTTGATGCAGCACTCAGGCCTGCTCTAACTGCCGGGCATTCATCTGCGCCAGGTCAGTCTCCACTGCCTACCCATCAATGCTCCAAGAATTCGCGCAGCTGCGGTCTGGAATTGTTCTGCAGCTTCCCCGAATACTAAATGCGGATGGACGGCGGGCAGAGCTTGCGCTAGCAAACTCGAAGCTGGCTGACATAAGGTTCTACCCTACACTCCCGGATGCCTCGGCGCCACCTGTTGGCACTGAGCTCAACTTTGGCTTCGTCTTCCACCTTATTGAAGTTCTACTTCTCCAGAAGTTTCGTCACAGACATGCGAGAAGCTCCTGCGGTTGCCAAGCTCTTGGCACGAAGCCTGCGTAGCCAGCCTGACTCGTGCGGACGCAAACAATTGAAAACATGACTTCACATAGCCAGCGGACATACTTTTCGGCATACTCAACCTGAGTTGCAGCAGAATGTGGCATCAATTCTAGTTTGGTCCTGCTTCCAGCACACGCAATTAATGCCTCATGCCGAGTAACAACAGGATCTTCCACCAGCTGCGAGATGTCACGGCCGTACACTAGCTTGTCCACAACCTGCTAGGCCATCCTCTATTCAGCAGAAACGAAAGCACATCTTCCGCCAAAATTGGACCCAGGATCTCTGAGTCTCCGGCAGATATGTGTCTAATGCTGCACTTCTTGGCAGGCTTCTCAACTCGGCTGCTTTTCCTTACGAAAGTCAAGGGTTCTGCGTCTGACTCTTTGCCAAACTGTTTTGGATGAACAAAACAATCACCATGATGTTGATGCAAGGTGTCTTGCCGGCGTAGTCCGCAAATCCTCGGCCAAGGAAGGTAAAGAAACATGACAGAGATCCGAGGCAGCTGCAAATGCAGAAGGTGCCGTCAAGCGTCTCTGGTCAGAGTCACTCTGAAAGCACATGCTGGCTTCCTTGCACTTGCCGCCGGACAGTGTGTCGGTTGTCCAGATGGCCTACCACAAGCTCGGCGAGATCAAACAGAAAGCCGGGCTGGCGATTTAAGTTTGCAATGCTGAGCCGCAAACTGACACCATGGATTTGCCCTCGGCACGCGCCAAATCTGGGGCACTCTTGCACCCAGCAGCGCCTCAAAAACTGGCAGCGCGCAAGGCCCCATTTACAATCCCTTTCTTCGGGGTGACTCTGTCCAGGCTCTTGCTGCACTTCTTGCAGCCACGAAGCTGAAGCTCTTGATGGTTCGGCCGCGGGGCGTCTCAACTGCACAGGCAAAACCAGAATGCGTTGATGCTACGGCTTGTTGTCCTGCCAATGCTCTGTATCGCAAGGCCGTGGCCTTTCAGCTACGAGCTTGTTCGTTGATGCAACACGTCTCAGATGTTGCAGCTGCAGGCTTCCATCAGGAGTTGCTGCAAGTTCAGCTTGGGTGCGCGATTGTCACTTCCGGCCTGAATCCTTTTTCGTCACCATGTGTTTTTATGTAGGATTTGGAAGGCATTTTGGGGAGAGACCACATAGGACGTTGTACCCCCTCAAGCCTGCTGGACGGCCGTGAATAACTTCCTGCATCATTGATACGTGAGCAAGACCTCAATGGCAGGACATGGCAGGACTGACGGATCAGGCTCGTGACTCGTGCAAAGGTTTAAGTTACGCCATGTTCAACCAAGCAGCCAGGAGCCCGAACTGGCCGGAATCGAGCTTCCACATTCCTGGCTCCAGCTCGGTCACCTCACGAGGCCACAAAAAGAACACTCCCGCTGCCTAAACCGGCTGTACCTCGTCTGGATATCATTGAGACTTTTTGCCTAGCTTTGTTGAATTGTTTTTAGGGTGGGTGCTGAGCTGTGTGATTAAAACAGGTTCCATGGCGTTTTCCGTGTTATGCTTGCAAGAAACGCAGCGCAGTGGTAAAGAGTAGTAATAGTCAATAATCCATCCACATCGTAAATCCTGATGATGACAGTGGAAATCAGGGAGGCGGCAAGATTAAAGAGAGTGCGTTCAGACAATCATGGCCCCTCACAGATATACACTCACTGATTGTTCCGATGGGGGAACATCGCAAGAAGACTACCCGCAACTGCAACAGAGAGGCAGTAACTTGTAGAAACATTCTCGAATTATCAATGTTCCACGCAATGTGATGACAACACAGTAGTAGGAAGGGTGCGAGTAGCCTGCAAAAAACGGTATTCCCTAGTCGCCCTAGTCATGCAGTCATGACAAGCCAACCCAAAAACTATGCGCAGTCAGAAGGCTAAATCGCTGCATGAACTCTTCATGCGGGCTTTGCTCTTCGACGTGCCTGGAGAGCTGGGAACCTGAGTTGTTTGACGGCCCAGCTCATCCGACTCTTTTTCTCAAGCATCCAATTCATCGAAGTCACAGTAGCTGAGCACAGCTCTGCGTTTTTTCTTCGCATCACTGCCTTCAGTTCTGAGAGATTGCCCGAGACATGATCCAGCATGCCAAGCTCTCCCACCTTGTTTGTGCCCTGATGGAATGCCGGCAAAGTCCGCAAACTGTTTCATGTATTCCTCTCAGGCATGCATTTAGTCTGTCGTCCGGGCAGATATGCAAAATCATGATACCATCAGGTCCCGATGAGGGTCAGAACCAGACCTGTCAAAGTCTTGACCATAAATGATCTCGTCCTGAGTTGGAAGATTACATCCAGCAGGACTCCGGCAAACAAGGCAGAAGAAGGGTAGCAAAACAGGCAAGGCTGCCCATTAGCAAAGACCAATCTTTGCAACTAAGCAGCAACTGTCGAATGCTGACAGGGGGCATGCACACAAAAACTCTCATGAATGACCATGCCACGCAACTTTAACAAGCGGTGGATGCAAACAAGAAGACGTCAGCGGCCACGGGCCTTTGTCAAGCCTACTACGCGTCGGCCACGGTCAGGAAGCCCAACCAGCGCGCGGTGCTCCTGCTGCCAACAGTCAGAATTTGCAGCGAACCAGAGCCGTGCAAGTCCTCACTAGACAAAGGAGCCGCTGGCATTGCATGCGCTCCTGGATATGTGCTGCGCTAGGTCTGGGCAGAAACAGCTGCGTAAGCGCGTTTAGGGCGACGATGCAACAGCCCCAAGATGATAGCTGCTCACAAGCAGCTTGCCCCCAGACCTTTCTTCGCTCAGTCGGTTGAGCGGCATGAGCTCGAAATCCCGACTGCCTGACAGAAGATACTGCTGATACAGTAGCAAGATTCTCTGGCCATTTGCGCGCATGTTTGCGGGGGCTTGACAGGCACATCCTCTTGCGAGAGGTTTTTGCACGTTTGCACGCTACACTGCTAACGTCAGGTGACAAAAGTGGTGCACTGGTCCATGGCATTTTCTTGAACAAGCCAGCCAAAAAATGCTGTTGCTCGGATCGTGGTTCCTCAAGATGAGTCTCAAATACGCATGAGCCCAAACCCAAAAACTGTTTTAAGCAACTGTTTGGTCATGACGTCGGGAGCCTTGCCTGCAGGAGGTTCTGCTACTGAGCTTTGGGATAACAGGCCATGGACACAGGCTGGGCGTCACAACTCGTAGTTGAGTGTTGCAAAGCTGTGGTCGCTGGCAGGGGTCTCGCAATTAACATCTTGATTACTTTGCTTCGCCCAGTGGCATACTCGGAATTTGGGATGATGCTGCACCCCATGCTCCAAACAACCTAAGCACCCGCTTCCTCGCTGGAGACTGCAGGCAACGCATCTCAAGAAAGAATCGGAGGTGCCCTGGACCCCGAATAGAAGGTCGCGTTTGCGATCACTGCTAATGAGTTTGCGATGGTTTACTCGGGTCGGCTAGCACGCCAGCCCGATCAAGCAGAGGCTCGCCAAGCTCAATTTGAGGCTACGGAGAACGTAAACTGTGACCGTTGGAACCCCAGCCATCACCACCATACACGTAGAAATCTGCCGTAATCTCTGCATGGCTCGAATGATGTGGGCCCGGACTAAGCCTTTCACATGCTCCTACTGTTATTCTCAGAATTAGATCACTGGGCTTCGTTAGCAGCCTAGAGCTCATTGCGGGTTGGCTGCTGCAGAATCACTCGCATCCATGTGGTGTCCTGCTTCTTCTGTCCGGTGAAAAGACCATGTCGCGGTTCGGTGTGCCGGATAGGAGCGGAGTACGGCTTTCTGCGCCTCAGCAACATCACAGTGCCTTCGAGCAAGGAACTTCCTCCAGAAACAGGTCGGGTCGACTGGTGCCTCGATGGGAGTGCTCAGCAAGTGGCCTCAAGTCAGTGGGTGAAGAAGAAAGAAAAACGCTTCCATTCTTCCAGTCTTCTGTGCCGCGAGGCAGTTGAGCAGACGGAGAGCCTGGACTGCAAGAACAGCTCCGAGCAACCCGAGGCCGAGCACGGCTTTGCGAACGTAGCTGAAGGGCGGACCGCTAACCGACGTTTGTGGAGTCTCAGAAATTGGAACAGCCTCGAAGAGCACTACGCTGCAGGGAAAACACAAAGAATCAGTCGATTGGATCCGAAGGTGCCAGCCGAACTGGGCACTGGCTCTGATTGGCCCACAGACACCTCGACAGCCTCCACGCGAGTAAGCAAGCGCCATGGCCAAAGGCACGAATCCAATCAATCATGTGGACTCGCCTTTGCAGGCCCCTGAAGTGTTGGCAGCTTGGGCGGCATGACCTGTTGGGCCATGCTGGCCAAGCTTTTGCATGTATCCAAACAAGTGCGTGCAGCAAAGCGCGTTGTAAAGCATCTGACTCCTGCGCCTGCTGCCATGGCAGCAGCACTTGCTGCCGACTGCGCCTGTGTGCAGGTAGCCAGGCATCTTGCACATAAACAGTGCGCATGAACAGTAAGTCCGGACATCACGGATTGCCTGACATCCCATCACTCGGATGCTGTACACAGGCAACGACTTCAGCGTCTGCCTGAGCCACCAGACTGACCCAAGCTGCACGAAATGCAACGTTGCCAATGTTATGGCGCCGCGTCCGCCTAGGAGAAGCCTTGGGCTCAGGCATACTGCTTGCGGGGCCCCGGATATCTGCAATGACTGAGCCTTGCCGTTTGGCATGATGCGTCGCAAATTCGCAGACGTCAGTGTCATAACATGCAGCTGGCAGCAGCAAACCGATCTTAAAACATGGAGCCTGCACGCAAGTTGATAACAATGCCGGATAGGAGGTCCTGCAGTCTGAAAACGTGCGCGGGCAAAGACTTGAGGACAGCAAGCGGCTAGCAACCTGTCCTGACAGAAGCCTATACTAAGGAACGCGGACATGAGCTCCTTTTTGAAAGCGCTTGGATCAACCTGGCAGGCCCGCAAGGAGCAAGTACCAAAGTACCAACATCAGCAAGATGCGTTTTGAAGTGCCTTGCTAAGCGCCAGATGAAAAAAGTGCAGCTCCAGGCGCTCCTCTGGCTCCTTTTTTGCAGCTGGAGTTCTTTCACTTCAGGCGCTCCTTTGCAGCGTTTTGCGGGCTCCTTGTCCAAGCTTCCATCTGGCCTCCCACTAGCATAGAAGCTTGGGATGCGTTTCCAGGACGACAACTTATTACCGCAGGACGACGTGATAAAGCGGAGAATACCTTGAAGCAGCTACAAGGCGTTGCAAGACACCTGGCCTTCTCAGCATAGGAATTCATGCAAAATGCGTTTTGAGGATACATACGACACCAGATAGACACAAGAATCCGGCTGGACACCTGCAAGATAAACAAGCCCCGACCGACATCCCTTGTCTGAACCCCGCAAGCACATAAGAGGGACATACCAAAATCGAAGTCATGATCGCCAGTGTTCTGAAAGCTGGACGCAGCTGTGCAGAACTCTTGGATGCAAGGAGGGATCGAAACTTGAATCACATGGCGGGTAAACACTATGACTGTGACTCCTCAAAAATTCATTGTACACCATGCCGAGCAAGGAACAAAAAAGCACACTGTCACTAGCATAGCAAGGTCCTCAACGCCCAGGACACCTCAACATTCCTCTCCTGCCACCAGCACCACCAACCTATGAATGGCCACCGTCAGGCCGAGGCCACGTATCGCCTTGGAAAAGGCACCTGACCTGCCCTAGAGTCTTGGTTGTCAATGGGGACCCCTCCTGAGCTGTAGTCTTGGGCTGAATCCGGAGAAAGGGTTTGGAAAGCATGGCAACTGGCGTTAGCAACAGTTGTTTCATCGCTTTTGCTCGCTTGGCATCTCTTTGTTGACCATGCCTGTTCAATAAAATGACGGGAAACAACAGACCAGCTAAGCACTCACAAGGACACACGGACACGACAAAGCTGATCCAGTCCCGCGCCCGCTCCTCTGCCCCCCCGGATGGACCTTTTCTTTGGCTCAAGACTGCCATTTGAGGATGAGGCCTCAAGACTAAGACCTGAGCGATTGGGTCAAAGCCATGGGTCCAACAGAAACATCTCATCCTGCCCATGGGCAAACGCTTCAATCTTCAGGCTGCTTGCTTTGGCTGATGCTTCTATTTCGATGGCTGGCCTCATACCATGCCTTTGTGGCCGGCTTGGTTGCTTGGAAATGGGATCTTCTGCTTTGATTCCCCTGAATTTCTTTGCCAGTGGGACTGGAGGGTACATGACAAATTGTGAACATGTCTGGTGAGTGCCTTCGAATGAAACAGTGAATGCGCAACAGATCTTGATGGCTTCTGGAATTGTTAGCTTGCATGAGCTTGCCTGCTTTCTGGTCGCTCCGGCAGGGATGGAGCCTCTGCCTGCAAGTGACCAGTATGACAACAAACAAATGGGCTGGTCTGCATGCGGAGACTTCCAGAGCGCGGAGACACTGCTTTTTGGAGTTCCGACAGGCAGGCGCATCTCATCTGGCACGTCAGCGTGCAATGTGGTTCTGGCTGAATGTACGTTCAAGGAGATCATGGAGAAGAGCATGAAGATCACGTGCGGAGGTGTGGGGCCACGATCGCAGGCATAGCACGAGTTCAGGATGGACCCGCTGGCATCGGCCACTGCAAGCAGCATTTCTGAATTTTGCTCACGCTGATTTTTGGTCATCCGGCTGGGCCATGAATCAACCTTCAGATGACTCGGGCTGAAGCTGGTAGACACGTATCCAGGCAATTTCCATGACCTGCCCGTCACCCTCGAAGGCTGCCCGGTCTATGCCCTTGCAGGGAGCACACGAAGCTGAATGATTCTCTGCTCACTCTGGGAACCTCGTACAGACACCATCAACATGTCCAAGCAACCAGACAAATCTTAGGGCATGTGCCTTTTGGCCGCCCCAGCTTCCGCCAACCGCCAAATTCCTGGGAACAACAACACACCCGCAGTCGTCAATACAAGTCGATGCTGCTGCATGATGATCAGAACACGTACTCTTTCGTGTGTAGTCTAGCAACCACCTGCTGACCCTGGCTTGGGCTCACATAGTCTCACGAAAAAGAAGGCAAACGGTGGATCAGTCAGGCTGCCGCCAAGCAGCATCAGAAGGTGAAAGCGCTTATCAAAGGGCCATCCTTCCTTGCCTGCGCTGTGCTCCTGCCAAGACTTCAGCAACCACCAACTCAATTCCACATCTCTGATTACAGTACAGAGGCTCAGCTCTGGAAGCTTTTCCCCAAGGTCCTTTACAATGCGAAAATAAAGATGCCCGTCGCACAGAAAGTCAATCCGCTGCGAAGTCCATTCAACACCGTATGTGTGCCACTGTTCGCTTGACAAAGGTAGCACGCCCCCAACTTGACTCGCTCTTTGATGATTGCACAAGGCCGTGTGCAGCGTGCCATGAATTCGGCCCGCATCATGGCCAACATGCTCCACAATGTCGATTTCACCACCACAAGGCCAAGGCTCGCCCTCTGTTGGCATCATCCAAATACCAGCCCATGTCCCACGGCCACTTGGCAGGCGCACCCGGGCCTCGAACCTCCCATGAATCCAGTCCATCTTGCCCAACGTTGTCAAACGGGCAGAAGTAAAATCTCGCGTGCCATGCTGCTGCAACCGAGCTCTGATTCGAAGGCAGCCATCTAAGACATAAGCATTCTCAGGCGAGTCTGTGTAAAACTGCAATTCGCCATTGCCCCAACCACTGTCGCCGAGCTCAAATGACCACTTGGACGGATCTGGAAGGCCTCAAGATGTGGACATTTTCATACACGAACTTCTGCACCCCTTTTGGTCGGCTTGCCGGAGCTGTCCCAGTGAGAACTGTCTTTCATTTCGTAGGTCGTTGTTAGCCTAGCTTGGTTAGGAGAAGCTCTGATTCTGGAGGGCTTTGGTAATCCATGGTAATCCTACGATTTTGGTTGCTTCGGCTGGGCTTTTGTACGGCCTGTCTGCTGGTAGCTATCTCAGGTATGCTTGCAAACTTTGATGGATTTTCATGACTTCCTTGGAGCTTCTGACCGAAATTCTCAAGGGAATACCTCAACCTGCCTCGCACGGAATATGCACCAAATCCTTCCATCGATATAGGCTAGTGCCTGGGCGTCATCCTTTCCTGGCTTCCTTTCAAAATCCTAGGATAACCTTACTTGCAGGGGCTGCTCCCTGGGTCTAGAGCACCCTCCCTGGCAAATGATACTACTTCTATTACAAATTATTCTGCTCTTGCCCTCTTTTGCTGCATACTCCAGTAATCAAAGAGCTGTGGGTTCCCCCCGAAGATCTTCTAGCACACAATGGACTTCTTGTGAAATTCTACGGAACGCCAAACCCACTCCAAAAACAAGAGAAGCTACCATTTGCAACTTCAATCATCAACCCCGTCCCCAAACCCCACCCGCTAAACTATTGCACACCGAAGAGGCAAAGTATAGCATATACTACATACAGCAAGTCAAATGCGACAGGCCCAACCCAAGTGCCACTATTATAGGTTGATACCCATAAACTGAAAACAATTGACCTGAAAAAGCTTGAGCTGTGAGACCTACGCCGGAAATCCAATCTTCATGCAACACAAACACTCAAATCCAGGATATTACGTTTCGAAGCTGAGCCCTTGTGCCCTGAAAACTTGCAGAGAGTTAGCTGCTAGCTCTTAGAACTATTGTTCTGCATGCGTATCTCAGCACGAGGAAGAGTAAACGGCAATGGGCATGGGAGCGGACTCTGAAGTTTTCTCCAGTAGCGAGGGGTCTGCTTTGTCTATTGTGACATCCCAGGGTTGACAGAGCACACGTCCCAAAGGTAGAGAACTATGACTGCAACATAATCGTGGGATGCGGTACTTGTTCACGCCTCTATGCAAACTATGTTTCGGGAACTACTAGACGTGTTCGTCAGCCTGGCGCGGACAATGTGCGGAGTGCCACATAAGCCTTTTAAAAGGTTGTTCACACCTCACCTACCTACTTGTTGAAACCTCACTTGCTGACTTGTTGAAGCCCCATTCCAATCCAGTTGCCCGCCCAAAATCCCGGTGCAGTTGCCCACCTGCCACCTCGCTTGCTGGCCTTTTGCACTCCCTTGTGGTACTGTTGCGTGTGACACCTTGCCGGGCTGCAAATTGAGGGTCCGTATAGGTCCGTATCGATAGTACTGCCCGTGGCTGCTTTTTGAATCCCCATTCCAGTACAGTTGCCCGTCTGGTATCCTTGTTGTTGCATGTCCTGTTGCTGCTCTCGTTCCGTCTGATGTCATGTCCTGCTTGATGTCCTTGCTACTGTCCTGACGCCAGGCTGATCGGCCATGCGACTCATATGCCGAAAAAAGAGAACAACGAGGGAGTCCAAAGAAACGAGCCCCCTCCCACCGACCAATACTAAGCGCCAGCGCGCGGCAAGTTCAGCAGGCTTCATGAGTACATGAGAGTGCCGAGTACAGATCCACGCCTGTGTAGTCAAATTCGTCATGCCAAATCAACATTTCAGCATCAGCCGGCCGCACGGGGAGCCACGTCATATCCTGAGAGAACTCCCCGGAAGGCATGACTTTGATTCTGCCCGGCTCGCAGCAGAAAGTAGGGCCTGGACCGATGCCGTGATGCCCGTAGCTTGTGAGGCACCCGCTTCTCCAAAGTTTGCAGCAAACTCAGTCATGACGCGCTGCCTGCCATATTTGCCGGCAGCCGCTTGAAAATGCAAAAGCTGTTCAAGAAAAGTTGTCATCTACCTGTTACACATGCTTTCTGTCGTTCCAATCGCTTGTCTCTTCATCTGCGGTTGGTGCCCCTTGCTTCCTCTTCAAGGTTTAGGCCACGCAGAGCGGGCTTGTCGGCAAACGAGCCTGGTAGAGAATTGGAGCTACTCCGAAATCTGGGATTTCGAGCCCGTTTCGCTATGCAAACTTTTTGGAAGATTCGCCGAGGGCATGCAAGTGCCAAGCGTTCACAGAACACGTACTGGCTACCGGAATGCGTGCAACCCCGCCCCGGCCTTGACAAGTAAAACAAGATATCCAAGCTGATCAGGCCAAAAGTCTGACTTGCCACATTCCTATCCACTTTAATCCTGGATGACTTTCTGCCTGTGATTTCCTCCTCACTGCAGGGCTGATAGACCCCAAGTAGCATGCCCTTGCCCAACAACAGCCCTATCTGGAAGAAGCTCATTCATAGTCTTTCAATAGCTTTCGAAGAGCAAGGCTGCGTGGAAGTCCTCATGTTGCACAACCCCGGCTGTTATTGAACAGCTGCATATCATTCATAGCTAGTGGCACACTTGACCTGGGCAGAAAGCAAACTGGAAGTCATGAACTGCTTTGCACGACAGAGCACACACCCAATCGTCAAGGACACTCGGGGATTCGTCACATTTATCACCACATATCATCACATATCATCACGCTACCTTCAACGCTACCTTTGCTTGGCTCCCTTAACTGTATTTGCCTGGCCAACTGCGCCGTGAGGTTCAGTTCTGTGACGCACCATCGAGCGCGATCACCGGCAGAAATGCCATCACACATAACAGCAGGATCCCACGTCCTGGGCCACATGCAGAATTACAACATCTGCTAGCGCAGCCCCAGAGCAGTACAGGTTGGGGGCGGATTTGCATCTGCATTACCACCCTCTGCTGACATGCTCTTGTTCCTTTTCTGCCACGTATAATAACACGCACGTCCGTGACCAACTAAATCATGTCGGCTTGTTTTTTGCTGCAGTCATGACAAGGGACGTGGGAGCGTGGTCATCGACAGACCCTCCCCGCACGCAACTTCCACGCGATGCACTCTAGCAAGCTCGCAGTTCCAAAGTCGGAACCAGTAGTACAGGTGTGAGATCGACCAACTGCAAGCCTGATTCACGCTACATGCAATCAACAAGAGTTGTCATCATTCGTTGCTCAAGAGCATCTCTTGCAAGCTTGCAGGACTTGAAGCCCGGATGGGCGAAAACTCTTTGAATGTTGGCCATGAGTTTGGGCTTGGGGCAGTTTCGTTACAACATCTGCCACTCGCCGCCGAGGCCGGAGAACCAATGCATGAATGGAGAAGCCACGAGTCTCAGCTGTCTCAGCTCCTGACCCATCTGACACGTACACGGCCTCAACTTCGGCCTTGACCTGACACATGCGAGGCACGTCGTCAATTGCAAGCGGCCGCATTTTAAATCTTAGCTTCAGACCTCTGAGATGTGCTGTGTTTCTGATGTCTCGGCCGGCAACGCAGTCACAGGTGCGTCCCTCTTGGTGGTCTCATGCATCCCAGCTCCTGAGGCTTGGATCTAATAGCATTAGCTCACCGAGCTGGATTGTAGAAGCATTGCAGATGGTGTATCCTGTCTGGCTGGCAGCGGCCATGAACC